TATACACACACACACACACACACACACAATCTTATGCATCTATGGTTCTAACATTACTTCTTCATGAATGAGATGAGAAACTTTGATAGTTGTACAGAGATAGCCTTATAACTCTTTTTTTAAATGTTCTTTTACTGTTTCTGAAGAACATTATTTTCCAGCTGGATTTTGTACAGTAACATCATAACATCACCAAGTGTGCTTTTCAAGTGGTTATTGCGATTCTATGGCTTGGCTCCCAAAATCAGATTGAATTAATTCCTCAACACTTCAGTCAGGCTTTTTTGTCATCCCTGAGTATGGAAGTAGCACCTCTGAATTCAATGGAAAGACTGGCATATTTGAGTTCAGTACAATGGATATCAACATTTTTGTACATGGAGCAATTTGACTTGTCCAAATAAATGGCAATCAGGTGTTGTTGTTTTTAAAAACAGACACATACTTCCTTGCCACTGAAATTCTATAGGCTCTTTTTTGCAGGCTTATTTAATATTTTGGCAATTGATTAGACTTCTTTTGTTGATAAAAATAGTATTACCCAGGTAGATTCCATTGGATTCAAACATACGCAGAGATGGAGCAAGATGGAAACTAGAAAGAAACAACCCTGCTGACATTTACTACAAGTAGTCCTTGTTTAGTGACCACAGTTGGGATCAGTAACTCGTCAAGCAAAGTGGTTGCTAAGTGAAACTGCAACCATGCTTGTGATCTTCAATTCTTTTGCTTTGCAGAACTGTGAAGGTCATAAAATAAGGACTTGTTGTAAAGTAAATTTTTTTATCATGGTCATGACTGTAAATGGCTGCTAAACAAGGCAGTCTTTAAACAAGGACTACCTGTATGTAGCATTGTTGCATAGCTGTTAAGCTATGGTGCTATTGTACCGTTTTCAGTGGATATTTGTAACCCTAATATTTGTTATGCTATTTATCTTTTCTTTAATTAAATAAGCCTACATGTCTATTTATTGCAAGCTGTAGCATTAGGCATTTCTGCCAATAGCACCACTATTTAAAAAATTAGGTTCTAGGGTGGCATGAGCATTACTGCAGTACTGTAACATCTCTATAAGAGAGAAAATATATATTTTCAATTTAACGCAATTCCCTGAGCATTCCTTTTTTCCTTTTTTCTGCAATCAGCTGCTGAATTCTTTGGTTCTTTGTCCTTTCATACGGTGGTCTCCTCCTCCAAATGATGTTGTGTTGTGGCACTTCATTTTCCATCTCATGAATTTTATAGGGTGCATCCAGTGTGTTGCCTTCTGGCTGCTCTATGGTCACATTAGAACTGGAGATATTTACCATAGCAACATCTGGTGGACCTGTTGCTCTATGTGGTATGTGATCTTCAACAGATGTTGCAAGGGTGGGAGTGAAGTCCTCTTCAATATCATTAACTGTTGAGTTGCCATGTTCTGTTTCATTAGCGTACATACCACAAGACTTGCAACACAGTTTATTATATCCAGGAATGGTACAGTACCGGTGGAGAACTTCCATACGGCAAAACATTGATCTGTCTTCTTTGCAATGTTCTGCTGGAAGAGAAAAATACATTTAAGTTTATGCTATACATCCCAAACCTAGTCAAGTAAACTTGGGTCTTAAGAGGCCATTGCATAAATAAGGTATTATATGTGCTTTTAACCAAAGCTCTCTCTCATGTTTTTTGCAGCGATCTAAAGCTATAAAACAAATTTCATGCATTGATTTAATTTTCAGAGAATATGGGAACAAAGTGACAATTCCTGAGTGATGTACGTTTGTGTGTCCCCAAATGCACACATTGAAATTAGACAGGAGACAACTTTTTAGGCATGATAGTGACTATATTGTTAGAACCACCTGTCATCTGGATCACCCCAGTTACATGCTGGATTTTCCTAAGCTTATGTCAACAGCTTGTCTTGAGTATGGTACATCCGTGGAATGAAAATTATTTATATAAGGAGCAGCTTTCTCATTGATTTTCATGCATTCTGTTAATCTGACCCTCTTACTGTATTTGGCCTAGCACAGATCACACACCAGCATACTTGCACTTGTTTGACTTATTATTTTGTTGTTTTATTACTAACAACTGGAGCAAAATATACACTGGCAATGATGACATTGAAAGATTCCATTCACTATACTATTTGTCATGAAAGTTTCAACCTTCACAAGTCACTGAGAATTATACAATCACTGAGCATGCTAAATCTTCATTGGTCTTTGATGGGGAGGGTAGAGTTTACTGTTTTTCTACAGGTTTCTTGGGCATTGTTTTGGCTATATTATAACAGGCACTGAGCTGAAATTATTCTCTTGTTTCTTTCTCACCCTGACATCAAGATAAATTGCTATCAAAGAAGCACTTTCATTAGGCTTCATCGTTTTTGCTTCTATTGGTTTATTATAATATATCATAAGAAGCTAAAAGAGTCCCTGCGGATTTTACTCTGCTAGTCATTGACGACTATAAGGGGTGATGTTCCGGTCCGTTTCAAGGCCATTGAGCCAACACTGTCCATGGTCATGTGGCCAGCATGACATCATGAAGCACTGTTACATTCCCATCAAATGCATGCTTTGCATGCTTTCAAACTGCTAGGTTGGCAGGAGCCAGGGTGAGGATGGGAACTCACCCCCATTGCTCGATCCTGGGCTGCCCAGCTTTCCAGGTGACAAGGCCAGCATCTTAATCACTGCCCCGTCCCAAAATATACCATGCCATTATCCAAATGGCATATGTACAGAATCTTTTGTCTCTTAGGAGTGCACCATTTTCTGAGTTTCTATACATTGCTAGAATGTTACCAGGTAGCCTTCCATCAGGAACTATTTAAAGGTAAGAACCAAGGCAGTCCTCTAAACAGATTGTCTCACTTTCTGAAAAAGATTGTTCAGTATATAACTGAGATCACATCATTTTTAAAACAAGCACTTAGCTCTGTATTTAGATAAATGATGAATCCTCCATTGTAGGAACTGATGCATCAAGAGAAGGCAATACAGACAATCCTCAACTTATGACTGTAACTGAGCTCAGAATTACAGCTGAATTAAAGCCAGTTGTTAAGCATGTCACCATGTGACTGCACCCAATTTGAAATGTTTTTTGCAGTGGACATTAAGTGAATCACTGTGCTTGTAAGTGAATATGACAGCGGTTACATGACTCCATTGTACACAATGGGCATTTTTGCCAGAAACCAGAGGTAAACCCCAGTTTCCAGCAAAAAAAAAAAAAAAAACCCACCAAAAACGGTCATGTGGCTGTGGGAGAGCTGGAGGCCATTGGAAGTTCAGATCTGAGTTGTAAGTTTTAAGAACTTGGGAGACAGACTTGGAGAGAGGTCTGTCATAAGTTTGACCAGCCGTTAAGTAACTGGTCATTTTGTTGAGGACTACCTGTACATATTTTCATAGTCACGGAGGAGAATTGAACATTTACAAAAACTCCAACAAGTTCAAAAACTTCACTTCTTCTGAAAACTAGTACTGTCTCTCTTGCATAATTCATGCACTTATCTCAACATCTATGTGTGCCTAATCATGCCTTCAAAATGTGGAAAGTTTTAAAAAAAGAAAACAAGGGAGAGATGTGCTAATGTCATCTCTTTGTATGAAGAAACATGCCGAGGAAGAGAGAGGTTAGCATGAAATGCTAGATCAACATAGAGACCAAGTGCCTGTGTACATGCAGCAAAACCAGCTCTGAGTTTTGCAGCATAATCTGTCCAGATGGGAAGAGAAGGAACACATCCATATTGCCATCTGGTGATAATATTAATTTCGATGCACAGTTAACGTGGTATTTAATTTCATACTACATCTGGTTGCAACATGGCCTTGCTGCTTTCATTATCAATTCATTTTTGCTACCCTACTGCAATTTGAACAGGATAACTCCAGGGATCATTTATACTGAAGAAATGTCAGCGCTCCCCATTGCTTATAAAGCATGGGGGGGGGGGGGATTTTTAAGCGCCCTTGTTTACATAAGAAATAAATATTGAAATTCAAACTAGGTTTCTAAGTATGCATTGCAGAGAGAGGGAGAATGAGCAATCTGAAAACTAAGTTAAGTAGAAGTAAATGCAGGTTGCAGGAACCATATTTTAAACAAGGACTGACATTTCTCATATGGTAAGACACACCAAGGAAACTATAGCAGCTGTGAAGCATAGAGCAATATTCTTATATAACTCCAACCATTTCACTATAGTTAGCACAAGAAGAATGTCCAATCAGATATACATACTTTAATTTCTAGGAGCAACAACATAACACGTGAATTTCTTGATGCCTAAACAATCTGGGACATACATGCTACAATCTTTCCTTGTTAAAATTGTTGTGGAGTGTAGTTTGTGCTCTCTCTCTCTCTCTGTGTATGTGTGTGCGTGCATGTGTGTGTGTGCACTTGCAAGCTAACTCTTCACCATAGTGTTGTTTCTGTGTTCCAGAAGAAAGAAATTTCAAATGCATCTTTGGAAATGTATAACAATCAGGATAGTATGACAGCATCATCAGGCCCTTAGAAGGAAGATCCATGCAGATATGGGAGCCTAGGGGTTAGGGAAGGAGTCCCCAGCCTCCGGTCCATGGACTGGCACCGGTCCATGATATGCCAGCAACCAGGCCACACAAACAAGCGAAGCCCCAAACTACAGGATGCAGGTAGCACGCAAAACCATGCCCCCTCCAGTCCATGAAATAATTTTTCTCCATGAAACTGGTCCCTGGCGATCGAAAGGTTGGGGACCTCTGGGTTAGGGGACGATAGCCTTTTAACTGCATTGCAAATTAGAGCCCACTCTAGTTCAGAAATATTTGTTGACTTCAGAAAAGATATATAATAGTTCTTTACTCATCATCTAAAATATTGGGCGTGAGTGTGTTTAATTCACAAACATATCAATCTAGCATATGTTAGTACTTTTACAAATATAACTGTACAGCAGCATTATGAAACAATGTTAAAGTTCCCAGTTACTTATGGGAAATAAATAAGTAAATACCTTTTGTTGCTGTCATTTGATTTTGTGCTGATTTTATAAAATAGTTCTAGTTCAGTTTCACAAGGGAAATAATTGCTTGAATTCTTTAGGCTAGAGATCACATGTTTTATATATATAAAACTATTAATTTAGCCATTGTAGAGCTAAATATGTCTACATATGTAAAAATGGCACAATAATGACTTGTATTTGATTTTTTTCCCCAAATATATTTAAAACTAATTTTTCAACTAAGCGTAATTTTCAAACTAATTAAAGAAACATTTGGCTTCAAGGTGCCTATTGAAACAGCTTTAGAAAAATGCCTTCTTTTTCATAGTAAAATATGCAAAATGTCTAGATTAAATACAGAGTCAGGTGAAATGACTCCTATGATGCTATTAAGATACATTTCATTTATAATTAAGAGGTTATAGAAAGACATTGTCTTTACTTCCTTAGTGGGGTGGGACAATTAGCCATGGAGCATCAAGATTTGTGGCAGTTTAAAAATGTAACAAATTCATTTTGGCATCAATCCTTTCCTGGATTGCAAGCCATTTGCACGCACAAAATCTACCATTAACATTCTTATTCTAATGTACAAAAGTCTTTAAGCTGTTTGTCTTAAGCTAGTGACTTGTATATATATATATATCAGAATAAACATACGTGGTTATTCCTCCAACAAAACTACCAGACCTGCTGAACTTTAATCTTTTATTTTGTAATATGCATGACAGACTTGAAGTTATCTCTTTAACTCAGCAGTAAGAAAAAAATAGTTATTTGTACAATCACTTTGGTACACATTTCAACTGACCTGATAGAAAATATTGAACAGCAAACTGAATTGGCACATATTTAATATTGTTTTAAATACATACAAAACAATGATAAAATATCCCTGATAAACCAAAGTGCATATAGAACTGCGCACAATGCCCAGGTATCTTATTGCACCATTCTCTAGAGCCACCCATATTGTCAAACATCACTTAACAGTTGTCTATTGAAAGGTAACTAACAGTCATAAGTAAGTTGATAACAGTTATACACCAATTATTTTACATAACAGTATTTAGAGCCAGATAACATGTCTTTGCCTTTATGTTGCCAGATAACATGTTGCAGCAGGAAATAATAATAACAGCAAAATTTAAATATGTGATCACATGATAATGACCATTTTGAAGTGCTACATTGCCAAAATCCACAGGGTCACCTTTGTAAGGTATCTCAAATGTTAGTGGAAAGAGAGCAAGAAAATTGTTAGGATACCCCAGGACTAATGCCTTTCTATTCTTTGATATTACATGAGTGGTCCATGGAGAATATATTTTAGATCTTCAACACAAAGCCTGTTGAAGGAATAAATTGCAATTAAACAAATTAAGAATTGCAAAATACTTTTCTCCATCCAATTTGGTAATGATCCTTTTTTCCCCCTCCTCATACATGGACTGTGCAAATTTCCTTCCAGTGTTTAATCATTCAAGTAAAACACTCTGTACATGAATATCAATTCATGATACCCAGTACACTGTATTTAAAGCTGGAACTGGAGATTAATGCCAATGCAATTAAAGTTTAAGGCATTTTTCTAAACATAGTTTCTTCTTCCCTAAGCAAAATAAAACAAATCAATAAAAATTGAGGTAATTCTGTAGTTCACACAATTATGCTTGCCAGTTGACACACATCTATAGATCATACACACACACATGCACGCACGCACACACACAAATAGAAAAACTGAACAGTCAAGCCAAATATGCATATGGTGAAAAAAGACTGATGAATGTAATGATGAATAAAGAAGTAATTGCCGAACAACTTTTGACATTACACTGTGTGTCAATGCCATATTGTCTCAACAATATTACAATACTGCACATCACAACTTGTAGCATAAGTACATGTTCTGCCATGTTGTTTTTCTAATTGCTTTTTCAAAGGAAAAAAAAGAACATTAGGTATACTCTGATTTTTTAAAAATGTGTTTTTTTACTTTTGGAAATCAGTATAAACCAAACGAAGATTCCTTTGAAGCATAGTATATAGTAGCAGCAGCATTTAATGGACTATATATAAAAAGAAGTCCCATCTTCCTGAAGAATAAGTTTTTCTCATGATAACAAACACACATTTTAAAGCCATTGTGACACATGGATTGAGAAGCAATGAGACTATAAAGAAAGATGGAATGGGTGCTTTTGTCCTGTTTGAATACCCTGCAAAAACATTGACCTACCTAATCTGCCAGGAGTTAGAGGACCTTTAGATGAAAGGAAAACCTTAGCACTACAAGTTGTCATTATTGTGATGCGATCACATTCACAATAAGTTGTCAGTTTCACCATCAAACTCAAATCATGAGCCAGTTAAGAGCCTTTTTTCACCACCACTAACCAACAAGCAAACCGACATCAGCTCACTTTTTAGAGAACTTACAACAAACTGCAGATATTCTGCTTCATACACCCCAACCCCTTGACGACCTCCACTGCAGCAATGAAGGGCTGCTCAATCTCCAGAGAAGTAAGACATTGGACACTGCAACCCAGTGCAGGGGGGGAAAAGATTCCTCTCAAGATAAAACTCTGAAGATTCAAGAAAATGTTCCATATAGGAAAAAGAATAGAGCAGAGGGCAAAGTCCACATTTGATGTGGCATGCAGCTAAAAGCAAAGGCAGAATTATAAATGGGTCTTTTACTTGAAGATATTTTCTGGATGGGATAATCTGTGTCCGGTCTTGACAGCCACTGTATCATATAGGTCTTCTTGGATGTATCTGATGAATTTTCTGAAGGAGAAAGAAAGATTTGGAAAGGGGGGTGGAAATATGATAACTTTTTTGTAACTTTTAAGGAACATTTTACAATCCAAAAGCTGAATTAATAGACCCCATTCTAATCACAAAAAGGAAACTATTTTGAAAGCCAAAACTGTACTTAGAAAAACACCAGTGTTTTTAGTTTTAATGAAGTTAATCATTTAAGCCCTTCTGTTCAAATGTATCACAATGTGGCATGCTTTCAGAAAGGCTAACAGTACAAATGTAGATAGTGAATAAATGTTTTTAGAGAAGCTTACTTCCATTTTAGGGTTTCTTCACACATTCTGGCTGTTAGGTGTGCAATTAAAACCTTGAAAGTGTATTTTTTTTAACAAGTAGGAGAGAGACGGAGTTGACCAGGGCTTGCAACAACTCTAGAGAGGACAATTGTGGACCATTGTGGGTCTAGACTGGAAGATAAAGAAGTCAAGGAACTAGTGCAGGGGTCTCCAACCTTGGCAACTTTAAGACTTGTGGACTTCAACTCCCAGGAATTCTGGGAATTGAAGTCCACAAGTCTTAAAGTTGCCAAGGTTGGAGACCCCTAAACTAGAGAACAAAAAAAAAAGTAGTGAGGAAAAATAAAAATGTGATAATCGACTAATTTCAGTATCTAGTCTCCACTACCAAAGTTTCCAAAATGATGTGTGATCAGAGGTGGTATTCAGCAGGTTCTGACCAGTTCTGGAGAACCGATAGCGGAAATTTTGAACAGTTTGGAGAACTGGCAAATACCACCTCTGACTGGAGATTTTACAGTATCTTTCCCCTGCCACATCCTCCAAGCCATGCCCACAGAGCTGGCAGTAAAAAAAATTTGAATTCCACCACTATGTGTGATCCTCTGATAATTCACAGACCAACATTTCTTAACCTTGGCAGCTTGAAGACATGTGGACTTCAATTCCCATGGCTGGCTGGGGAATTATGGGAGTTGAAGTTCACACATTTTTAGGCTGTCAAGGTTGAAAAACATCGACAAAGAAGAAACAATGTTTTTAGATTTTTGCCAAGAATGATTCTCAACACTTTGGCTTTCTTTATTATTTTATACTAGCCTGCTAGCATCCCCCCCCCCCCAAAAAAAAATCATCTACAGTGAGTCACCCTTCCCCAAATCAGACTTCTTTAAGAAGCATTTCTCAAATGTCTTCTCCAGCTGCAATAAAGATAAAGCTGTTAATACTAGGAATATGGGACAGATTACTGTGACAATACAGAAGTGAAATAGTAAATGTGACTATAGTATCTCTACAGTTTGTTGGCATTTCACAAAGGAGTTCTCCCAACTTCAGCCCTCACCCTTCCCTGCCTTTCCAGGAGACTCAAGGAATCAAGAGTTTTTAAAATGTGTACACTCACTAGAACATGAAGGTAGCCTGCAGAGTCTTGTTGTCTCTGGCCTATCTTCTTTACAAAAGCCAGTGATATTTTCTCTTGTCGTGCAGAGAACTGGCCTTTCTTGTGTGCCATTACCACAGGTTACAGAACACTGGAGAGCAAACAAAGAAAATTGGGCTTCTGATTCTCTTTTGTAAATGCATTTTTGGTTTATATCGTTCATCTTTATACATACACACTCACATGCACCATTATATAGTGCTAACAATCACACTATTGTTACTGTTCTTCCAACACTCTAAAACTTCCAGAGGACTCTAAGGCAAATGCTGAGTCATGCTGTTATATAAACATAACATCAGAGGTGGTATTCAGCAGGTTCTGACCAGTTCTAGAGAACCGACCAGTTCTAGAGAACCGATAGGAAATTTTGAGTAGTTCAGAGAACTAGCAAATACCACCTCTGACTGGCCCCACCCCCATCCATTCTCTGCCTGCCGAGTCCCAGTCTTCTTTTGTTGCCCTGCACAGGAGAACTAAGCTGGAAAGCAGGTTAGCGGGGTGGGGAGGGAATGGGATTTTGCAGTATCTTTCCCCTGCCACGCCCACCAAGCCATGCTCACCAAGCCACGCCATGCCCACCAAGCTACGCTCACAGAACTGGTAGTTAAAAATTTGAATCCCACCACTGCATAACATCTCTACATTCCATTTTGTACATCCAAGATAAGGGGCCACTGAAGGGCCAGAGATTTTTCCATTTTTTTCAATTGAAACAAATGTATAAATGGAATCATGATTTAAATGCCTGCTTACCTGTGACCAGGGTCCAATCCACCACTGTGCAGGGCAAAGTTCCCGATTGCAAACCCTCTTGCCCTCCGGACGATCACTGCTGCAGTATTTGGTGTGGACAGAACGGCTTGTGTTGTCGTGCAATGTTTGGATACATCGTACTGAACGCACCTGATATCCTGTTTTCCCACAACTTTTGCTGCAAGGTTCCCAGTCACCTGTCACCCATCTGTTTCAATGAAAAACAATTAAGTCAAATATATAATGGCACCACTATATCCTCCTATTTAATATAAGTATTTTGAGAAAGAGTATTATTTAGTCTATAGGGACGCGGTGGCTCAGTGGCTAAGACGCTGTGCTTGTTGATCAGAAAGGTCGGCAATTTGGTGGGTCGAATCCCTAGCACCATGTAATGGAGTGATTTCCTGTTACTTGTCCCAGCTTCTGCCAACCTAGCAGTTCGAAAGCATGTAAAAATGCAAGTAGAAAAATAGGGACCACTTTGGTGGGAAGGTAACAGCGTTCCATGCGCCTTTGGCATTTATTCATGCCAGCCACATGACCATGGAGACGTCTTCAGATGGTGCAGGCTCTTCGGCTTTGTAATGGAGATGAGCACCGCCCCTTAGAGCTGGAAATGACTAGCACGTATATGCAAGGGGGACCTTTACCTTTACCTTATTGTTTCGCCTGGGATTTGCAGTGGAAGAATAATGGACTGAAGACAGCTCCATGAAAAGCAGAGCTGAAAATTGTGATGAAGAACGAAGAGCTGATGAGTAGACCAGCTCTTTAAACCTCTCTGGACAGCGGAGAGATTGCCCACAAGTGCTCCATGCCAGGAGACTGCAAAATAGTGGCCTCCAGCAGGTCCTGAGCAGTGAGAGATGACGGAATAGTCATCTTGCTCAGACTACAGTTGGCTCCGTTGGAAGGAGATACTAAGTCACAGAAGGAATTGCTTGTCAACTACTTATCAGCTATTAGAAATCTTTGGATCAGCAAGTTTGAAAACATCAAGTAAGTCTGTCTTCAATACTTTTAACAAAAGAAAGTTTTAGCTACAAGCTTAAGATAAACAGCAGAAGATTAGTTAACACTTCAGTTTTAGAAAGCTACAAATATACTATGGGTTTAAATAAGTTTGAAATAAGATTTTGGAATTAATTATAAAGAATTCTTCCCTTGGGGAAAAATGATTTTTCTGCTTTTTCTTTTTAAATAATAGGACAAGAGAGAAAACTAAAGATTTCAATAAAAGAAGAAGAATGGATAAACTTGACAAATTTATAAATATATACAATCCCAATATACAAGTAGTCCTTGACTTACAACAGTTCATGTAGTGACTACTCAAAGTTACAGCAGCAGTGAAAAAAGTGATTTACGATCATTTTTCACACTTATGGACATGTAATCAAACTTCAGACGCTTGGTGACTGACTCATATTTATGACGGTTTCAGAATCCCAGAGTCATGAGGTCACCTTTTGTGACCTTCTGTCAAGCAAAGTTAGTGGGGAAGCCAGATTCACTTAACAACCGTGTTGTAAATTAACAACTGCAGTGATTCACCTAACAACTACAGCAAGAAAGTAAAATGGGGCAAAATTTACTTACAAAACTGCCTCGCTTAGCAGCAGAAATTTGAGGTTGAATTGTGGTCGTAAGTGGAGGACAACCTGTACTTAGAAATGAGAGCTGGATTTTACATTTTCTAAAAAAATATAACCCCTACAATAATTCTGCTGTTGAACTATCCTAATGTAGATATGTCAGCCTTAGGAGAACAGAATTTCCTGCTAGTTTTTCTGACACATAAGATCATCTATTCGTAATGCTCTAAACCAGGGGTCCCCAACCACCGGGCCACAGACCGGGACCGGTCCGTGGAGCACTCTGTACCGGGCCGCAAAGAAAATAAAATAAAATAAAAATGGCGGCTTTCTTCG